AAACAATAATGTTCATTTCCTTAAATAAATGTTAGCTGATAACAAATTTATATTATTTAACGTATTATCTAATACGATGATCTTTCATTTAATTCACCTTTATCGACAGATTTTACTCTTTCAATATTATAAGTGATGTTATTCATCCGACAAAATTCATCTGCTTTATCTGGATTTTCAACCGTGGCATTTACGCATGCATCGTAAAGAACGCAGAGGCCACTGCCACCGCTGCTTATCGATGATTCGCAGTAAGTACCCCGATATTTGAATGTATCTGTAGCGGTGGCATTGCATCTAAACATTAAACATCTTTTAACGTATGGGACGAAAGAAATTTTTCAATGGGGAAAAAAAAAAATTTTTTTTACAAAAATATATCGATTTTACATACGAACCGACATTCTCCGCAATCGCAGTATCCGTTACCGAAGCAAACTTCTTGACTTCCCGGCGCGATACAAGGATCGTCAGTTGATGGACATTGACAAGCGTTTCCTTTCCAACCGTCTATGCATTGGCAAATACCACACTGGCAAGTGCCCTTATTCGAGCATTCGATTCCATCTATCTACAAAGAGAAGATCAAAAACAATGATACAATATAAAATTTGGGCATTTAACGAAATCCTGCTTCACCTTATCGCATACAGAACATTCGCAAAATTTTCCTTTATATCCTTCATCGCAGAAGCATTTTCCACAAACGCATTCCCCCCTCTCATGACATATTTTGGTCGAATCACGTTCAATGCATTGTTGTATATTATTCACCGGTGAAGTCTCGTCGCAATCGCATATTTCGCCTACAGATTCCATCCAGATGTTAAAAGGTGTTAAAAGAAACTTTCACTGAAAAAAAAAAAAAAAATAAATCAAGATTTCTTACCGGACCAACCAATGTCACATTCGCATAAGCCGCATTCGTTCGTTCCATGTTGGCAATAAGAATTTTCAGTATTTTTACAATAATTGCAACCGCAAAAAAGTTCAATGTCAATTATTATTTTTGATGCTTCAGAAGCTAATGTATCCTCGATTATAACTGTTTGTTTCTGATAAAAAGTTGTAATATAATCGTGCAATTAATATAAACGATTCGAATTTTGTATTAATTATTTATAATTTTTTTTTTTTATGTACCCATAGATTCTCATCTTTTGGACATTCATCGAAAGACAGAACAACCTGGAAATCGTACACCTTCCCATTCTCTATATCATCGCATTCGGCAATGTTCCATTCCGAAACATTTCCCTTGCCGCAATTTGAAAAATATTTCATTTTCAATGGGTTCGATGAATTATCTTTTAAAATCACTTTGGATGTAATTTGGTGATATGAGCTCTCAATGATATCCAAAATGTTCGAGCTGTTACTTGTCAAGATTGCCACCCTCGCCTTTTCCCTCAACAACTTGACAGTCTCTTCGTATTCATCGAGCAAATCTCTCGTCACAGCGAATATCAAATTGATTTTGTGCTCTTGTAACAACCTTGACAATTCTGCCAATGAGGCATAATCGAATTTTGAAGCTAAAAAGTACTGTTGATGTTCGTCGAGATGACACTCGAAATCCTGGCGTTTTACAATACCGCCTAGCTGATTAGCGATATTATATATATATATATGTATATGTATATTTGCATTTGAAATATCATTGATATTTTTTTTTCTTTTATTTATTATCAATTATCATATTTTATATACTTACCTTTCCATCACCAGCGAAATGTAAATGTCCATCCGTAACAACTAGAATAATTTTTCGTGCCTGATGTTCCCAACCAACTTCTTTAGTGCAAACGATCGTTTGTACGATTCCATCTAATGCTCCTTCCAAATTATCTGCGTTTCCTGTCACCAAGCTGTTATTTACCTGAAATTTATCAGATATTTAATCCATTCTGATTCCTAATTTCTCTTTCCAACTAAATGAGACAGATATCTTTGATACTTTGGTGATGAATTGTTGAATGTCGTCGGTTAACCTTAAATGATGCCAATACGAATAAATGGGAGAGCAAATAGCGTGCTCGCCCACGCAAGGATTTTTCTCATGTCCTGGAAGAATGTATGGCATCACAGGTTTATCGGCATAGCTACCAAAACCTAGACGATATTTATTGGTAAATTTGCCAATTCTTCGACTCATATCTCCTCCCAAACTGACCAGAGTCTCTTTGTCATCTTTCATAGACCACGTCAAGTCCATAAGATAATACAAGTCTAGTGGATAATTTCTAAATCATTTTTAAAATTATTAGATAATAGACTGCTCGATATTCCATTATGATATATTTTAACAACATTTTCGTACGAACATTATTTTAAATTTAATTAATTAAATTTAATTAATTAATACTCTCTTGTTTTTGTTCATTTGATTCACGACTTCGAATTAAATTATTTTGAAATTTAATAATAAGTCGGTATTAAAGAAACGTACTTGGCCAGTCGATAACGAATTGGGATCGTCATCTTGGAATATGGCGGAATTCTAATGTTTACTCTTTGGGGGCGTAACTGTATCGGTGTACGGTCAGCTTCCATGTCTTGAAAATCCGAGTCCTCGAGTAAAGTCATCGATTCGAGTGGAGTTGTACGGATTTTTTCTGGCGAACAACCGAATTCCTTCAATCTCTCTGGTACGTTGCATCGTGGTTTTCCAATCGTTGAGTTCGAGTAAAACTGCAAGCGTGTTTAAAAGAGAAAAGTCGAAACTAAAGAGGAAGCTTCTTTCATTTCTTTCATTTTTTTCTGAATTTCAATAATTTCATCGACCAATGAATCATAAATTAATTTACCCAATCGCTGCACCAAGCACAAGAGGAACTGGCCTGCAGACAATTCTCGCATGTGTTTTGAGATATGCACAATCTTAGTATCTTCGTTTTCACGTTCTCGATCTCTCTCCACTCGCGACAAAGGAAAATCAGGAACAACAACGATTCCAACAGATTTCTCATTTTCGATAAAAAATATAATTACGATACGGAAAAAACACGGAAGTTTATTTACGTTTCTTCTTCTCGAGAAAAATCTCAAAGGTTCATGCTCGCCGGCATATATTTTTAATTCTTCCAACAGATGACGAATACGAAAGTGATACGACTTAATCGACTAGAATCTCAATGTGACTTATCTGCACTATGATAACGATATACGCCGGATAGAAAAAAAAAAAAAGAAGGTAAAACGGTTATGTTGATCTGATATCGTTTCGCAGTAAAAGTTTGATTTTATCTTCGTGAATCCGATTAGATTGTCAACGTTAAACATAACAAGTACGAAATAGTACAATCAGTAGTATAGTATCTAACGATCTATCATTGATCTTGTTAATTTCTTCTTCTTTTCTTTTTTTTCACAATTTAATAAATTTCGTTTATTGTATATCACTTTTAACGAATTATTTGTTGACGCGTTTCAACTAGATGCATCGCGTAAAACTGGCATCGAGATCGTTATTGTTTCATCGTGGATATACGATTCTAGTTGTAAATTGTAACATTGTCTACTGTGATATGTACATATGTTTGATAGACAATATCGATATGTGCTATGTATAGGGTGTTCGAGAAAATAGTTAGTTAGAAATTGTGTAATCACGATTCATCTTGTTTGATGACATAGTTACGAGAAATATAGTTGTATATGAATAATACATACATTTCTTGTTCAATCTAAAAGGAAAATTATAATTGGAAATTATATTTATAAATTATCGCGTCAATAGCTTACGTGACTTGTTTTTTTTTGTTCAATTTTTATTTATCACTTTTTTATTTTTCAATATTATCGCATTGAAATCGAAGTAAAGAAAACACGTTTTTATATGAAGTTTAAAGCGATTTCGAAATTTTATCCATTTAATTATTTATTCCATTACTCTTTATACACATTTAATATATTCATACCAAGTATAAAGAATAAAATTGGTAAATTTTAATTAATAAAAAATTGAAAAGATAAAATCTATAATAAACTACATATATATTATTTAGGAAATATTTTTTGGCATTTAAATAAATGATTGATAATTTGATATTTTGTGTAATATATATCTGAATCACATTTGATTCTATTTATCACAGTATTTTCTTGATACACTAAAGAAAAAAAATAAAAAAAATCACAGTGTAGAATTTCTCCCATGAAATCAATTGCTCATATAATTGTGAAATTTATTTTCTAAATAGTATACTTGATTTTTCTAATTCATTATTATTTTTATTAAGATATTTATTTATATTTTAAAAAGAAATTTTTATAGATAATAAAGTTTAATTACAAAAAAATTACTAAACATAAATGTATAATATTATTATGTACAAATTATTTATTATGATAAATTTATGGAGACAATTTTAAATTTTATCTTTTATTGTCTCTCTATTAGTATTCAATTAATTAATTAAATGTTTTGAATTATTGGCATATTCAAAATTACCAACACGTATATTATGTTTTTTAAAATTACTTTGAAATTTGATATTTATGAATAATATTGAATAATATAAAATGTAATAATCATTTGTATATCAAACACATGGTACTATTTCGAAATGATAATGTTTACATGATAAAATTGTTGATAAAGAAATTTTTACAACAACATATAGTTTAAATGCGTCAAATTTAAAAATTACATAAACTTTATTTTTTCTGTTTCACATGTAAATTATTTTGTAAATATTTGTAAAATTTATTAAATCCATTTGATAAATATATTTGTTCATTTTCTTACAAATATATATGTATATATTGTTTACTTTTTTCTAAGAATAAATAAAAATTGCAACTACATTATTTAACATTTGTATTAAATATTAAAACTTGTAACTATATAAACTTCATACATTGTAATATAAAATATAAAATAACATTGTACAAAACGTTAAAGTAAAAATGGTAATCAATAATATTAAAATATACGAATTTTCATTGACATTTTGCAAGATTCCTACTACAATCTTTCTTACAAACTAATCAAATTTTGTCTCGATTAATGATTAATTAGCAAAATATTTTTTTTCAGAAGATACAATATAGTACTTATAAATAAATAATAAATAATAAGATTTTGATTACAAACTCATATTTTACTTAACTTCTATCACTATTGACATTCCAATATTAATTCTAAAAATATCTACCTTCGTTTCTTAAGATTTATCTTGTATAACAAACTCTAAACTTTAAAACTTCAGTCTCAATATTATAGTAATATTATAGTAACATATTATTACTATATATAACATACATTAAATATTCTCTTCATAACTCTCGCATACAGCTGCACGTTATTTATTCAGATTGGGAAAAAGCTAATCAAAAATAGTTGGATTGCGAAGTTGTCGATTATAAAATGATTAAAGTTTTCTTTTTGAACTGGAGATACGTTTGGTTAATTGTTGATGAATAGCTGAGATGTCTGGATCTTTGGTTACCATTCCTGGAGTAATTTTTTCTTTTTTAGTAATGTTTGATGTATTTGGTGTGTTATTCAATAAATTTTGTATAAACATAACTACGCTAGGCCATGGCAAAAACCTAGAATAAAAGAAAAAAAAAAAAGTAAATTACATCACGTTAGAATTACAGTTTTTGAAGTATGAAGAATGTTTTATAAGAAATTTTCATCTTTTTTTTTTATAATCATTAGAATAATAATACTTTTACCGATGCAGTTTTGTTTACCATTTTGCAGCAAGGAGAAAGCGTATGTAACCAGGAATTATAACGAGTTTTTCATTGCATCTCAAAGCAGTTACTATTCGATCCGCCACTTTATTCGGCAAAAGCCTCGGTAAAAATCTGAAGAAACGAAGAGGACATATACAGATCACCAATTTTACATTTCCATTTATGTAGATATAATAAGAATCAAGTTATACTTAGGACGAACTTCACTGTACATGCCAGTACTTTGAATGAAAAACGGACATATCACGGTCATATTGATATCATATCCATCACCCTGTATAGAAAATAATTTTTTTTTTTTTTTTATGAAACGTATTTATTCAGTAAGCAAATGTTATTTGAGATAAATAAAAGTAAAGTAAATTTACAATTAACTCCATATGTAGAGCTTCTTCGAATCCGATTATAGCGAATTTCGAGGTGCAATAATCCACAAAATGCGGTACTCCTACAAATCCAGCTAAACTTGCGATACTTACAATATGACCTTTGTTATCTTCCAGCATCGAAGGTAAGAACGCTTTCGTCGTCTTGAGAAAGAAATATTAAATTAAATAAATACATTCAAATATCTTTCAATGATTAAATCTTGAAACTCAAAATATTATACAAAAATATATATATCACTTTCAGCAATTTACACATCATATAATAATATAATATATTTCAATATATTTTTTGACTCCTCTTAAAATCTATATAATCTCTATAAATCTAAATATATAATAATCTAAAAGTATTAAAATATTGAGCTATTTTTACAATATAGTACTATATTTTCCTAATCTATATATGTAATTAAGATAAATAAATATAATAATAGCACAAATCACAATTTATACTCGTGTTCTGAATCCATCTTCATCTATTTATTCAAATTTCATTAATGATGTCTAAGAATTTTAATTATCCAATTTTTAATTAACCAATGTCTCAATGATTCACAATGATTCACAAGAAATAATCTTATTTATATAGAAATAAGATATTTCGACGAGCAACATTATTGAACGACTATTGAAGTTTCGACTAGAAGAAATATTTTTAAATATTATATTCGAAAACTGTAATAGCTACTAAATAATAATTACTTTTTCATGTATTCGAGTAATAATTTCATACAGAAGAATTTAATATTAAATTAGGTTTGGCGAGAATGTCACGTGTCGCACAAATCTACCAATAAGAATGCCTCTCACTTGGAACTTACACCGCGAAAGGCAGAATCGTTTCTGAGTTTGAACTGATGAATCTAATGTGGAATTTGTTAAGAGAAGTTGTTCCAACTGTTCTATTCGAAAAATTCCTAGTTCTATTGATAAAAATATTGAAATTTCCTCCGTGTATTGTTTATTTTGTAAAATCAAGGAAACGATTCTTTGATTCTTGTTTTTCGTTATCGAAATAAATTGCTGAAGAACGATAACTATTAAAGGTAATGGGTATGAGATAAAGATATACCCAGAAGTGACTCATCACGTTCACGTCCATTGTTCGTTTAAGAAGTTCGTCCGTCGCATCTAAGAATTTGAATCCGTGCCCCACACCGGCGTTATTTATTAAAATAGTCACCTGCAATATTCAAACATAGAATATTTCACTCGCTTGCTATTGGTAAGGATTAAATTAAAAGTATCGTAATTGAGAATGTTTAGACAAAAGAAACGAAAATTGGAATGAATATATATGATTCTAGAATTTCATGTTTCGATACAAGATTTCATAATATGTCGTCTATTTAAGGTTAAAAACTGATGATTTATATACAGTCAAAGCGATCGAATTCAAAAATACTTTGTTTTAGTTAGTGCGACTTCTTCATCCAATTCTATTTACATTTACACGTCAATATAATATTTGCAAGATCTTAAGCAATCGACAAGAGATTCTGAAAGCTGCTGGTTTTCGTATGCACCTTTGCTAATTGATTATTGAGCTAGAGGCGAAATTAATATAATGGCATATTTGTTGTGACGAAATACACGAATATTTGGCATTGATTGAAGAATTCTAGAAAAGCATCTTTGAAATACTTTCAATTTGAATCACTTCACGTTCTTCGATTATTTCATCAATGACGCAATCCTCACCTTCCCAACTTCTTTTTTAACTAATTCCGCTTTTTTGTAAATATCTTCCTTGTCGCATAAATCGCAAACGTAACCGTAACAAATACCACCCGCGGTCTTCGCCAATCTGACAGTCTCTTCCATACCTGAAATAAAAAGAAACTCGTCAATAAATTACATGGTCAGCGATAAATTTCAAAGATTTTATGTTCTCATATCGTAGGATATAAATTATCAAAATTAAAATAATCTCATTTGAAGCATCATTATATTATTTCTGTAAATATTTTTCTTCTTCACGAGTGATTAAAATTTTAATTTAAAAAAAGAAAAAAATGCTTACATCAAAAATTACTCAATATCATTTATTACATAGTTTCGAAATTGTACGATCTTGATGTTTCAAATTAGATAGGATATAAAATTTGAATCTTTGTATCATTATAAAAAGTTTCAAAATTCAAATTTCATTTATCATATATTAATCTTTCTCATGAACTTGTTATGCAATGGAAAATTTCATACAAATAAATTGAATGCCTGCATGCTGCGTATTGCGAAATTTATGGAATTAAAAATGATCTACGATTATTACAGGAATATATGTCGCCAATATATATGTGGCAAAATACGACTAATACAAGGCCTACAGTTCGGTTAAGAAAAATACATTTATTATCCGTTAATATTTTATGTGAATCGTTTTCTTACGTGAAATCTAAAAATAATTCAACATTAAATTAGTCATGATAATTCTCGACATGTACATTCATATTACCGTATTATTAATCGCAATAAAACTTATCGTTTCGTGGAATTAACTTTAATGAACTTTGTGAACAATTGAAACAAGATATCCATATAATTAATGTAATTTCTATACGCGTTTCAATAATTTTAATATCTTTACAATTGTTTATCTATTCGAAAAAAGAGATTTTTCCACGTAGAAAGTTATATCGCATGGAAAGACGTGTTTACGTGGAATGTGAAATGTAATTGTAATACTGAAAATATTCTACAATAATAATAATATTTGTGATTATTTCTATATTCTCGATAATATTCAACGATTAATAATAATCCCGTCGTGATGTCATATTTAGTAGAATTATTATTAATAATTATCTTAAAAATTACCATATTATTCATTATATATTATTATATATATTCATATTATTACCATATTATTATTTATCTAATCTAAACACTTATAAAATTACTAATTGATTCGAATTCTATCCTATTCAAATCCATTTACATCTCTTATGTTAAAATCAATGAATGTCTGAACAAGTATAATAAAATAACATTTTAAATTGTACAGTATTGCTTAATAATTATTGTGAATTATAACCTCAACCATAATCACGATTGCGTGAAATTCTATTTTAATCTAATCGAAAATCAGTTCATATTTGATCTTTACAGGAATGCCCTTGAGAATTGTGTGATATTATCTTTTTTTCTAAACTCTTGATACTTTCTTAATGAATAGGATCTACAGTAAGATTCATGATGTTTCTTTCATTCTCTATCATTCAACTTGAAAACTTGTTGAGGTTATTAAGCACGTACGATGTTTAAATATTTCAAGATATAAAGAAACTTGTTAATAACAATTCTATTTATACAGATAACGAGATGACTAATTATTTATTTATTTATCGTTTCTCAATCCTTCCCATTTTTCCATCATCGAAATGGATATTTTATATATATATATATAAGATTCAATAAGTGGAGGATAGGACTAGTTTTTGTAATGCGGTGCTTCGCTTTCAGCGACACGTGTCCCGTTTGCAAATAACTACGCATATGATTATTTTTAAATCGGTTCGATATGCTGTCCACGAGAACGAGTTTTTGATTAACAAGATTTAAAATTCATTATACGAGCTTCCTCTGCCCGTGAATCTTTGATATTATCTTTATGACCTTTTTCTTTCTTTCTTTTTTTTTTCTTTCATCCATTTTCATTACGATATTTCACATTAAACTTCTTTCTTTCTTCTATTCGTTGTTGATTCGCAATATCTGCATCGAACTCGTGTATTTTTCTGAAATATGTAGATACAAGTATCTGTAATATTTTACAATCAATAATAAATTATATATTTTGTTTTTTTACTGCATTGTTTTTGCTTTTACGAATTATAAGAATCATTGATTTATGATAAGTCTTATTTACGAACCAATTTGAAAGATAGAAAGTCGATTTATTTATTTATTTTTTTTTCAGTTTCGTTGCTTCGTTAACACGATTATTTAATTATTTGATTATTTAAGATCGATACTGTTATTTCATATAAATATAGTTGAATCTATCTGTTCGTATGCTTTGCTCTTTAATTTGCTTTTCAAATGAAAACATTTATAATTATATAACTGTCATTATTATTTTTTTTGTAAAATATTTCAATATCTTTTTTCCAATATTATGGAACATTTAATTTTTTCCGGTCATTAGATAGAAGGAATTGCATATATAATCTGGTATTTTTAAAAATATGTCATTAAATTGATGCAAGAATGAACGATAGATAATTATATAAATAATAAAGATATGATTACAACACGAAGTATGGAAAAAAATTTGCACAAGAAATTTAAATCGACAGATAAAAATTTTTATACGAATTAGAATTATTATATTGATTTATGTTCGCGAATGATCGAAAATAGAAAAAAGTGTTTAGCTCCGCGAAAATTTTGTAATGAATCAATATTCCATCTAATTTCTTTCAACTTTTCTGAATACATAATTTAAAACTGTTTGAAAAAATGGAAAGTGGATTTTCGAATGAAATTGGATTGTATTATTGTATCGTGATATATAAACGCTACACAAATGACAATATTTCATAATAAATATCATCAATTTTAATCTCGTTAAATTCATTTCAATTCAATTTCCTATATGATATTTCCAATTGTTATATAAATATGTTTATAACAATTAACGAATAATTCTCTAATAATTAATCTCTATAGTTAACCTAGATCACGATTAATAGAAAATTAGTTTCATAATTAATCAATTTGCAAATAATATAATGTAATGACTAGCGATTCTAACACAGAACAAATATGAAGAGAATTATTACGAACAAATTTTTGTTAAAAAGTATAAAAAAGTATAAACGAAATATGAAACAGAAAGAAGACGTGTAATATAATTATACGATGAATAAATTTTTCATAATCAGATGAAATAAATACAAAGGATAATATTGGATTCTTACCAGATTTTTATATTCTAAATGATATTCGAGATGAAAAAGCGCGATGTGTCATTTTCGAAATTAAGCAACGTGCTCGATTCGATGAATTCGTATTCAAAGTCTGAGCACGATTTAAACGACCTTGAAATAAGAATGTTCATCAAGAAACGTGGAATTCGGAAGATTATAATCATTTGTGACATTGATGAAACGTTTTTCTTATTCTAATGTCTTTCTCAATCAAGATACGAGCATTTTGTGAATAATCTGAACGTTAATCGAATATTTTGAATACATAATAAAGTTTCGCCTAATCATTTTTCCATCATTCTCGATATTAAATGTGCTGTACTCTTGTATAGTATGCTGAATTATGAAAAAACGAAATAAAATTTATTTCATATATCTATTCTAAATAAATCTTAGATATTTAAGTCGAGAAATTGAATTATGTATATTTTTTTATTATTTGCACAAGGACGTTTAATTAAATTTATGAATATATTTAATCTGAATAATAATTTTGCATTTAATAAATAATAAAACGCCAACCTGGAAAATGAAAATTATGATTATAGTTGAAATTTCTGGAAAATATGTTATCGTAGATAAAATCATGGAATGTTAGCATTGCAAAATCAACGTTCAAGAAGAAGTTGAATTATATATAATTATGACGTTAAATTATAATCATACACTGGTGATATCTATTTGAAAACAGTATCTTATAAGTATTAGCTCATTTAAAGAGTTTTATGTCATCATTTATCTTTGATGATATAATATCATCAAGTCCATGAATAGAGATTTTGATTGCCTACTTTTAAAAGTTATCTTGTTACAATTCAATTTTTGAACTTCCACCTATAAAAAACCTCTGAAAATCATCTTTAATTAATTAATTTGTTTCATTCTGATTTCGACTTTGCATAATTGCATAATTTTAATAATCTAATTTTAGAGATTTAATCAAAAAATTTCAACCAAGTTTTTGATCTTTTGATCAAAGTTTGTTCACTTTGAGATAGAAGAGATGCTTACCAGTCTTATTAATATCCCAAATGACAACGATAGCACCAAGATTGGCCAACATGAGGCTGATAAGCCTTCCTATACCACCAGCACCACCAGTCACCAGAATGATTTCCCCGGTGATACTTTTCATTTTGTATTTCAATGGAATCAAGGATTTGAATATATTTTTGATGCTAAAGATCACAGACCAAAAAAGAAAAATGACGAAAGCCCCGGCAGCGATGAAGAATGACACTATGGGCAGTGGTTTTTGGACAGAAGGTAATGTTGGGGTAGAGGCAATTAATCTTGGAACAGAAACAGTTGGAGATAGAGAATCTTTAAAATCTTTGAAGGCAGCAATACTATCTTCATCTGACACGATTATACAAATTAATTTGCCAGTACAAACATTTTTTGTTCCTGCAGGTATTAGAATCTTTGCTAAGTACCCTTCTTCTGGTGTTTCAAAGATTATTATTGCTTCACCAGTTTTAATTTTAGCAAGTAAATCACCTTTATTTAATTTATCACCTAAAGAATTTATAATATTGAGAATTATTAATGGAATTATATAGAGGGCACAATAAATATTCATATTACCTTCCTTTTTGAGCCAACTGACAATGGTACCTGTTTCCATAGTAGATGATAATGCAGGAAATTGTACTTTTACATGGATTGGATAATCTGCATAAAATCTTAGCTGTTGCTTCCATGGAATTACCGAAAGATATAAAGTATTATGAACCTGAATTCTAAATATTAATCAAAAATTATAATTATAATATTTCATTTAAAAAAATCTTTAAAATTAAAGAATAAAATAAAATTTTTCATTTCATTTTTCAATCTTATCCTTATTGTAAATACAAATCTATGAAAGAGTAAATCAAATGTAATAGAATTATTAAAAATAAATATCATCTGTAAAATTTTCAATAGAATTATTGACATAAGGAATATTCAACATAACCAGCAATATAAATCTTATTTAGAAAACAGCAAAAGTTAATTTCATGAGTAAATATGATAATAACATAAAATGAAATACCTTTGTAAATATTTTCTGTGAAGCCATTGTATAACTATCGATCTTACAGTATTCATGTTTAGAGAACTTCGTAATATATATATTTATATATCAATTCATTAAACAAATATATTCATTGTTATTCGTATCATATTTCTATTATTAGAGAATCTTTTATTGTTGATTTTAATAGAAAATCATTTGATATTAGCTGGAGGTTTTGCTTAAACATTTCCAACAATGTTCCAAGAATGTCAATGATGTATGGATATTTTTATTGTAAAATATGTCTAAAAATTATTAAATTGAAGGTCGTTTACAAGATCACATTCAAATTTAAAGATAGTTTTTAAAAGTAGAAATTTTATTGCAGAAATCATTTATTAATTATGAAATGAATTATGAAATGAAGAGAAAAGAAGAGAATGAAAATAAATAGAAATCGTTTTTTGTTTTTGATCGAGTAAAAATTTATATCAAAGTTTTCTATCTTATAATAAATTATGTTATTGATGAAATAAAGGGGATACCGTGATTCGTTAAATCAAAGTAGTCTGATTATGTTCACGCACTTCAGTGCTAATGATATCGAAAATAAAAGAGTTTAACATCTTATCGATATTTATTTCCTTGCAAATTTTAAATTTTGAAACTTCTTTCGAATTTTAATAATTTTTCATCTGAAAAACGTGCACAGATTTTAGAAATTGTAAAAAAATTATTTTTTCAAAATGAAAATAACAAAATAACAAATTAGCCAATATAAATAATTATAAATTAAAATGTAGAATTCAGATATTTATGATGAGGAATATAAAATAAATTATTAATCAATTTCAATTAATTAAACAATATAATGTTTATAAAATATTGTTTTATTATTAAATTTATTATTTAAATACTACTAATTATATTTTTCATTTATTAGATAAAGAATCATATAATTATTGATAACTTTAATCTTTATTATGATAATTGAGATTTCCTAATGCTGATATTCATATTAAGTAATAAAGTTCGTTTCATGATCTAAAAATAATTAAAATCATGTAAAATTTGTTATTTAAGATAATAACGATGCTCAATATCGTAGAAATAAAACTGAATGGAACAATGAATGGTTTAAAAGCGTATATGAATCGAAGCCATTGAAACCATATGGCATGATGACATACCATCTATAAATTTTATTTATAAAGATATATCTTTTTTAATTGAATAGTTGAAAATTTATCAACGGATATAAAAAATTAATTAATTTTTAAATCAAGCATATCAATATTTAATGACAAAAAATAAAAAATTTTATGTTAAAATATTAATAATTTATATTCGAGTTAAAAAAAATTCGAATATTGCAATTCATTACTTCATCATGATAGTTTTTTTTTTTTTTTGCTGAATCAGAAATCATTTTTGGACTGATCAAAAAGATCTGATCAAAATGTCATTCAATCCACTAATTCTTTCGATCAAAATGAATCTAATTGATCGAGAATGTTCTTTTTTCTATATAAAATAAAATTCAATAATAATTTTTTTTGGCAAGTATAAACAAAGGATTTTGATACATATACTCATCATACTCTAATATATTTTTCTTGCTCTATTTTGAACTTCTCATATTCTTTTTTGTCTTTTAGAAATCCAACATATTAAATAATAAATAAATTTCTATTTTTAATGAATTATAATTCAATTAATTTTTATTATGCAGTTTTTATTTTCAAATTAACAACAAAATAAATCCGAGAGATAATATTATTGTAATAATGATAATAATTACGGATTTAACGATTACTTCATTTTGGAGTAGCGCATATCTAATAGATTTAAGAAAAAAATTATAATTATAATAATATTTACAAATATAAATACCTCATTTTCTGTAATGTATTTTATTTTTTTAAAATAACTACGTTATTTTTTGAAATAACGAATTTTCTTCACGAAACAATAATATATTTCCTAAAATAAATATTAGTTCATTTATATTGTTTAATATAATAATTTTTTGATTCACCATTATTATTGCACTCTCTCAGTGTTATAATCGATATTAGTCATTCGATAAAATTCGATTACCTTGTCCAGATTTTCAATTGTGGTATTAATGCATGGATCGATAGTAGTCGCTACTATCGCTGGTTATCGATGACTCGCAACAATCTCGATCTCGATATTTGAGTTCATTTGCTATAGTAACAGTAACCTTATTTAACTATGAAAGAATTTTATGAAACTTTTCAAATACCGAAACGAAATTTTTTACAAATATCAGATACAAACCGATATATATTATTTATAGTCATAATATCCAAGCCATAACAAATAACCATAATAACTACAAATAACCACTGCAAATTTCTTGATTTTTTAGTGCGATACAATCGATCGATAGACAAACGTTTCCTTTCCGTCTATACATTGGTAAATATTATATTAGCAAGTGCTCTTATTCGAGTATTCGATTCTATCTACTTATAAAAAGAAGATTAAAAACAATGATATAATATAAAATTTGAATATTTAACTTGATCATCTTATCGCATGTAAAATATTCACAAAATTTTCCTTTGTATCCTTTATAGTAGAAATATTTTTCACGTATTCTCCTATCCATCAAAATATAGAATAAATCATTTTGCTTTTTTTATATCATCGCATTCGGCAATTTTTATTGCTCGAAACATATCCTTGTCGCAATTTGAAAAATATTTTATAGGATATAAAATGTAGAATATTTCTAATAATTAGAAGAAAATGTGTTAAAAATTCATTTTGATATAATTCGAGAAGAATAGCTACATATATGAAAATATACATTTTATTTCTTGTTCAATCTGGAAAGAATATTATGATTGGAAATTTTATCATATTAATAGCTTACGTGACTTCATCGTTTCTTTTTCTTTTTTTGTTCAATTTTTATTTATTAGTCATTATTCATTACATTATACATTACACTGAAATCAAAAGAAACAATACTTTTGTTTGAGATTCAAAGCAATTTCAAAAAATTTTATTTTTCTTCTCCATTCAATTCTTTATTCCGTTTACTTTTTATGTACATTCAATGTATTCATAGCAAACATGAAAAATAAAATTGATAAATTTTAATCAATAAAAAAAACAATGAAATCTATAATCAAATTATATACATGTTTAGAAAATATTTTCTTAACTTACACTTAAATAGATAATGGAAATAGAATTTAAAAATATCTAGTCGTTCGCTCTAACGTGATTGCAATATGATGTTTGTGTAATACGTATCTAAAATATGTTTGATTCTATTTATCATTGTATTTCATTGATATACTAAATGTAAAAAATAAAAAAAAAAGTATAAAATTCCTTCCATAAAATCATTATCTTATCATCAATTAATTATATAACTCTGAATTTAATTTATATTTATCTAGATAAAATTTATATTTATGTAGATATAGAAAAATTTTTTTGTAAATTATAGGAATAATTGCATAATAATATTATATATATGATGAATAGTATTATGCACAATATACATATTCCATACGATAAGTTTGTGAAGAGATAAAATCTTAGTGAAAAAACGCTCGTTTTATTTTGTTTTTTACATCTCGTTGTATTTAATTAATTTTTTGACGATATTGGAATATTCAAAATTATTAACATTTACAAATAATATTGAAGAATATAAAATATAATTTTATTACAATATTCTTTTCACAAACAATCAGTTTATCAGATATATGGCACTATATTTTTAAAATGATAATGCATACATGATGAACTTATCGATTCAACAAGTTTCATCTTGCAATAATATGTCAAATGGGTCAATATCTACAAATGATATAAACTTTATTTTTTTCTATTCGAAATGAAAATTATTTTCTAATAATTCGTAAGATTTAGCAAAATAAAAATTTGATAAATATACGTGTTTGTTCCTTTGCAATCAAATTATCACTAACTATTCTTACTATACTACACTATTACAATCGTATATACCCATCATACATATCGATGATATTTAACATTTATATAAATTGTATATTAAAATTTGTAACTATATGAACTTCATCATCGTGCCATAAAATATTATTATACAAAACATTATAGTAAAAATGGTAATTAACAATATTAAAATGTACAAATTTTCCTTAATATCGTGCAAGATTCGATACAATCTCTCTTAACAACAAAACAAATTTAGTGCCAATCGTTTTTTGTAATTTTCAAAAGACACAATACACTATAATTATAAAAAATAACATTTAGAGATATTAATTGATTATTTTAAAAAATTTTATTCCTATTCATATTATTATTTCTTAACAAATTTCAATATTGATTGTAAAATTCACTTTTAATTCTATAAGATTTATCTTGCGCAATAACTCGTTTCAGAAACAAGCTCTATTGACATTATTATTAAAAACTCGTATTAAACGAGTTTCGCAATATTATAACAGTTATAATATAACATATATTAAATGTTCCATAACTCCCACACATAGGTACACGTTACTTATTCAGATTGGAAAAAAAGGCAATCGAAAATAGTTGGATATGTTGCGAAGTTGTCGATCATGTCGATCATAAAACGATTAAGGTTTCCTTTCCGAACTAGAGATACGTCTGGTTAATTGTTGATGAATAACTGAGGTGTCTGAATCTTTGGTTACCATTCCAGGAATAATTTCTTCTTTCTTAAGAGTATCACTGTTTGATGTATTATCCGATATTTTGTTTAGTAATAAATTTTGTACAAACATATTTGTGCAAGCCCATGGCAATAAGCTAGAATAAAAGAAAAAAAAAAAAATGTAAATTACATTACATTAGAATTGCAGTTTTTAAATTATGAAAAATGTTTTATTAAGATTAAGAAATTTTCATCTTTTTTTTTTATAGTCATTAGAATAATAATACTTTTGCCGATGCATTTTTGTTTACCATTTTGCAAGAAGGAAAATTCGTATGTAACCAGGAATTATAACGAGTTTTTCATTGCATCTCACAGCAGTTACTATTCGATCCGCCACTTTATTCGGCGTAAGCCTCGGTAAAAGTCTGAGGAATGCGAGGACAGACATATAGATCACCAATTTTACATTTCCATTTATGTAGATATAATAAGAATCAAGTTATACTTAGGAGAAACTTCGCCAAACATGCCAGTGCTTCGAATGAAAAACGGACATACCACGGTCATATTGATATCATATCCATCAGCCTACACAGAAAATAATTATTTTTTTTTTTTTTTTTATGAAACGTATTTATTCAGTAAGCAAATGTTACTTGAGATAAAAAGTAAAGTAAATTTACAATTAACTCCATATGAAGAGCTTCTTCGAATCCGATTGCCGCATATTTTGAAGTGCAATAATCCACTAAGCATGGTACTCCTACAAATCCAGCTAAACTTGCTATACTTACAATATGACCTTTGTTATCTTCCAGCATCGAAGGTAAGAACGCTTTCGTCGTCTTGAGAAAGAAAAATTAAATTAAATAAGTAACATTCAAATATCTTTCAATGATTAAATCTTAAAACTCAAAATATTATACAAAAATATATATATATATATATCATTTTCAGCAATTTATACATCAAATAATAATATAATTATATTTTAATATATTTTTAGTCTCTTGAAAAGAATCAATGAGAATATTGACAAAGTAAAAACATAGTCAGCTACTTTTAGAGAAGTGGCTACGTTTGCCTAGTCTACATGTGTTTAACATAAGTAAATATAATTGTAGTACACAAGTATTCTTTTTTATTATAACAAAGGCATTATAAATAGGATGAAAAGATGCGAAAATTCGAATAATCGATCGAATTATGATCGATGGAATAAACAGATACGAAAACGATTTAACAAGATTTGTCTAAACAATCGAAAGACGAAACAAAAGATCTACTATTTGGCTATTAACCTATTTCTCGTAATCTTCGATCCAATCTTCCCCTTCCCCCTCCCCTCTTCTCCCGTTTCTCGTGTTTTCACTTTCGAAAGTAAAATATTTTAGTTCGTGCATAAAAATGATTCTTGAATGCGGAGGCAAAATCTAAAAACAAATCTACGAAGAATTGTATTGACGTGAAAAATGATAATTCATATTACCATGTTTTTAAAAATCACATATTACACACGGTATTCATATAAAATTTTCCGAGAAAAATTTTATCTTTGGAAGAATTTCGATTACGTACGACATGATGAAATTTCAATGAAAAATAACAATTCTAAATATAATTATATCTCGAAGACTGGAGACTGAAATAACTAAATATTCGAACCTTGAATAAAATATCTGCACACCAACGCCAGATCTTATCCCTATTTTATTCTTTTCTATTTTTTTTTTTATATATATATTATCAAATCACAAAGATTACTCTTAATATCGATGACAAAACGTATGAAATCGGATATTCTTCAATCAGTTGTGCTATGATATTTATCCTTCTTGCTCTGAATCAATGCTAAGTTAGCTCTTTTACCGATCCAACACTCGTGCACGTTGATGATGTCTCGGTATGGATGATGTCTCCCTGAACTTTCACTCGGTATCCCGTTACTTTGGCTAATCTCTCGTGATTCACGAAATCGTCAATACTTTTACTGCCGGGAATAATATCATATTTGTACAGAAATAAGACAGATTCCAAGCAACGCCATTATTACGATTATCGAAGATAATGATTTTACTTTCGACGACGATTATCTTTATGAAGATTATATTAAAAAATTGTGACAGCTATATAATATAATAATTTGCTTTTTCGACGATACATTGCACCAATAAGTTTTTCTACAGAAGAATTCAATATTATCAATACGTTTGAGCAAGCGTGTTCCATGCATGTCGCAACTACGAGACACGAGCGTACTGTAACTGCACGGACGAGTGGCTGCATCTATTCGACCGGTTTTCCCACATGACCTACAGCAATAGTCTTAAATGGAGAGAACATCGTCTCGTAAGGAATGCCTCTCACTTGGACCTCACACTGCGAAAGGAATAATTGTTTTGTCAATTTGAATTGATAAATTTAAATTTGTCAAGATTATTTTGTAATGTTCTTATTACGTTTGGAAGGTTAGTATATCTACGGCAATAGTTTTCGCAAATAAATTGTCTCTTATGAATATACTGAACTTTTCTTGTGTGTTATTCGTTCCACATTCATTGTCAATTGTCAAGGAAAAATACTGGTTTTCATCTTTATTTCTTTATCGAAATAAATTGCTGAAAAATGATAACAATTAAAAGTAATGGATTTGAAATAAAGACATACCCAAAAATGACTCATCACGTTCACGTCCATTGTTCGTATAAGAAGTTTGTCCGGCGAATCTAAGAATTTCAATCCCTGGGCCACACCGGCGTTATTTATTAAAATAGTCACCTGCAATATTCAAATATAGAATACTTCACTCGCTTGCTATTGGTAAGGATTAAATTTAAAGTATCGTAATTTAGAATGTTTAGACAAAAGAAACGAAAATTGGAATGAATATATACAATGATTCTAGAATTTCATGCTTCGATACAAGATTTCATAATATGTCGTCTATTTAAGGTTAAAAACTGATGATTTATATACAGTCAAAGCGATCGAATTCAAAAATACTTTGTTTTAGTTAGTGCGACTTTTTTATCCAATTCTATTTACATTTACACGTCAATATAATATTTGCAAGATCTTAAGCAATCGACAAGAGATCCTGAAAGCTGCTGGTTTTCGTATGCGCCTTTGCTAATTGATTATTGAGCTACAGGCGAAATTAATATAATGGCATTTGTTGTGACGAAATACACGAATATTTGGCATTGATTGAAGAATTCTAGAAAAGAATCTTCGAAATACTTTCAATTTGAATCACTTCACGTTCTTCGATTATTTCATCAATAACGCGATCTTCACCTTCCCAACTTCTTTTTTAACTAGTTCCGCTTTCTTGTAAATATCTTCCTTGTCGCATAAATCGCAAACATAACCATAACAAGTACCACCCGCGGTCTGCACCAACTTGACAGTCTCTTCCATACCTGAAACAAAAAGAAACTCGTCAATAAACTGCATGGTCAGCGATAAATTTCAAAAATTTTATGTTCTCATATCGTAAGATGTAACGATTATCAAAATAAAAATAATCTTATTTGAAGCATCATTATATTATTTCTGTAAGTATTTTTCTTCTTCACGAGTGATTAAAATTTTAATTTAAAAAAAGAAAAAAATGCTTACATCAAAAATTACTCAATATCATTTGCTACGTAGTTTCAAAATTGTGCAATCTTGATGTTTCAAACTATGATAGAATATTATAAAATTTGAATTTTTGTATCAATATAAAAAGTTTCAATACAAATTTCACTTATCACATGTTAACCCTTTTCACCCGCGATTTCTTTCCATGAACTTTTATTACGCAACATTTCATACAAATAAATCGAAATTTTACATGCGAATATACCGCGAAATTTATGGAATTAAAAGAGATCTGATTGCTAATGTCCTATATACATATTTTGCCAATATTTATTAAGAAACGAGTAATATAAGATCGATTGAGAATACATTTGCTGTCAATTAATATTTTATGTAAGTCTTTTTTTTTATAATTTTTAGAATTTAATGACTCAACATTAAATTATTCATGATAATTTGTGACATATATATTTATATTGCTCTATTACTATTATTTACTATTATTACTATCGCAATAAAATTTATTATTTTGTGGAATTAATTTTAATGAATTTGTTGAAGCAATTGAAGGGAGATGTTCATATAATTAATATAATTTCTATATGCGTTTCAATAATTTTAAAATCTGGTTATAGTAATTGTTTGCTTAATCGAAAAAGGAGATTTTCGCGCGTAGAAAGTTATACCGCATGGAAAGACGGTTGTTTCGCTTCTTGACCAAGTGTTACGCGTGCTTACATAGAATATGAAATGTAATTGCAACACTAAAAATATCCTGTTCCTGGTAATGGTGTATTTTATACAACTGTTTCATATTTTTGGTGAAATTCATCAATTAATAATATTAATGATCGATGATGTCACATTTAATGTTAAACGTTAATTACCAGAATTATCGTATCGCCATTAATCTAGTTAAAACACTTATAAAACTATTGTTGATTTGAATATATTCCATTGAACTCCTACATTTTTAGTGCAAAGATTGTAATAGTGTAGATTGTAAACAAGTGAACAGGTGAGAATAATATAATAATTTAATGAAAGTTTTATAATACTGTCTAAATTTATGTGAATATTAGTTACATGGTCACGTGAGATTTTATTTTTCCTTTTAGTGAAAACCAGTTTATAAATCGTTCGACTCTGTTTACGTGAACGCCCTTGAGAGCTGTTTTTTCTAGGTTCTTCGTGTTCTCTTGGTAAGCAAGGTCTACATAGTAGTAAAATTCGTGCTTCTTTTACTCTTTATTTTTCATCGGTGTACGTATGAAAGTGTTACGAAACATATAAACGTATAAAGTTTAAAAGTTTCAAAATATGAGGAAATTGCTAGTGACATTTTATTTATATATCGATAATGATGAGGTGATTAATTACTTAGATTTAGAGAATCTAATTTTGATCGTTATTCCTTTCCATTTTTCTATCATCATTGATATACATGTTATATATAAAAGATTCAACAAGTGGAAGTTCTACTAGTTCTGTTCTTTCTCGTAATGTGATGTTTCGCTTTCAACGACACGTGTCCCGCTTGCAAATAATTACGCATATCATTACTTTTAGATCAGTATGTAGTAATTTGATATGCTGTCCACGAAAATAAGTTTTTGATTGACGATGTTTAAAATTCATTATGCGAGCTTCCTCTGCCCGTGAACCTCAGAGGGGATCTTTTCTTTATAATAATTATAAAATAATGAATGTTCTATTATCTTTATGACTCTTTTTTTTTTCTCATTCATTTCATCATGTCATGATGTAATTTTTCACATTAATCAACATCCAAAGAGTTGTGATAGAACGTAATTCTTCTATTCGTTAATTCGCAATATCTGCATTGAAGTCGTGTATTTTTTTGAAAGATGTGATACAAGTATCTATAATTTATTTTGTAATTGATAATATTATTATTTTTCAGTCAATTTATCTTTTATTCCATGCTCTTGCTTTTATGATTCAACAAAAATCAGTGTTAATAATAAAGTTTCATTTACGAATTAACTCGAAAAATAGAAAGTCGATGAACGATAAACATCAATTTATTTTTTTTTCGGTTTCGTTGCTTCACTGAGATCATTAACAATTGAAAGATTATTTAAGATTTGGAATAAGATCGATACTATTATTACATATATATATATATTGGATCTGTCGTACGATATCCTTTATTTTTGATTTTCAAATGAAAACATTTATAATTATTGTTACACAATTATTATTATATATTACTGAAACATTTGTAAAAACATTTTTTTGTAAAATAAATCATTAAATTAATGCAAAAATGATAATAGTAGATAATAAGTATTTATATAAGTATAAAAATGATTACGATACGACATAAAATAATACGACATAGAAAAACTTGCTCGAAAAATTCAAATCTACTCAATAAATTGAAATTTCCATACGAATTAGAATTATTATCTTGATTTATGCTCGTGAATGATCGAAAACAGAAAAAAGTGTTTAGCTTTACGAAGATTTTGTAATGAATTAATATTCCATTTGATTTTTCTCAATTTTTCTGAATGTATAATTTAAAACTGTTTGAAAAAATGGAAAATGGATTTTCGAATGAAACTGGATTGTATTATTGTATTGTCGTGATATATAAACTAAATAAATGACAATATTTCAGAATAAATATCATCAATTTTAATCTCGTTAAATTCATTTCAATTCAATTTCCTATATAATATTTCCAATTGTTATATAAATATGTTTATAACAATTAACGAATTAATTCTCTAATAATTAATCTCTATAGTTAACCTAGATAACGATTAATAGAAAATTAGTTTATATATATAATAATTAATCAATTTGCAAATAATATAATGTAATGACTAATGATTCTAACATGGAACAAATATAAAGAGAATTATTACGAATAAATTTTTGATAAAAAAATATAAAAAAGTAAACGAAATATGAAGCAGAAAGAAGACGTATAATATAATTACATGATGAATAAATTTTTCATAATCAGATGAAATAAATAAAAAGGATAATATTGGATTCTTACCAGATTTTTATATTCTAAATGATATTCGAGATGAAAAAGCACGATATATCCTTTTCGAAATTAAGCAACGTGCTCGATTCGATAAATTCGCATTCAGAATCTGAGCACGATTTAAACGACCTTGAAATTCGAATGTTCATCAAGAAATGTAGAATTCGGGCGATTATAATTATTTATCAACATCGATGAAACGTTTTTCTTATTCTAATTTCTTTTTTTAATCGAAGTTCAACCATTTCGTGATTAATCTAACTATTATCACATCGTGATAATCGTTAATCGAACATTTTGAAGTTTTCTTAGCAATTATTTTCTTAGCATTGAGCGTGTACTCTGGAACAATCATGAATTATGCTGAATCATAATTGAATAGAAACTTGAAAACAATCGAAACTTTATTTCACATATTATTTTAAATAAGCTTAGAAATTGAATCACGTATATTGTTTATATAAGATCAATTTTTTTTTATATCAAATATTCGAGAAATATTCTATTTAAATTTACTGAATTTATAAATATTTTGAATTAATATAATTTGACAAGTATTTTATAAAACGTGAACCTGTCTTTGACTATCAAATCACAAGTGACTAAAAGTTATAATTATATTTGCGTCTTCTGGAAAATATGATATCGCAATTGCAAAATGTTAGCATTACATAATCAACAAGAAAGAATTAAATTACAATCGCATATATTAGCTAATTGAAAATGTTGTCTTACAAGTTAGCGCATTTAAAAAGTTTTCTGTTTTATGTTTTATTTCATATCTTTGATTTGATTATACGATCAAGTTCATCGATTGCCTATTTGTAAAAGTTATCTTGTTACAGTTCAACATAAACTTCCATTTGTAAAATTTGACTTTTATAAAATCATCTTTGATCCGTTCTAATTTCAAATAATAATAATATAATTCCCTAATTCTAGGGATTTAATCTGAAAATCTCAACTTTTAATCAGAGTCGTTCAGATAAAGTTGTTTAAGATGCTTAAGAAGAGATGCTTACCAGCCTTATTAACGTCCCAGATGACAACGATGGCACCGAGATTGGCCAGCCTAAGGGCGGTTAACCTTCCTAAACCACCACCACCTCCAGTCACTAGAGTGATTTCCCCGGCAATGCTCTTCATCTTATATTTCAACGGGATGAACAATTTAATGATATTTTCGATGCTAAAGATCACTGCCCAAAAAACGAAAAGTATCACAGCCTTGGCGGTTACAAAGAACGACATATTTGTTGCGTTTTTTCTTGATCAAATTTTTATATTTGTTCCAACTTGTTTGAACGTTTTATCGCGACTACACTGAGACTCTTCTGTGAAATTGAGGTCGATCAGGATGGCATAGCTCGACCTGTGTATCAATTAAGGCTTATGAACGATGAGGTTTGTCTGAAAAAACATAATTATGACCAGTGTGACTTTAAATGCGATCGTGCAAAAAGATATTAATTAATTTTTTTATGATTATATCTATTGTATTAATTTTGTATGTATCTATATAATTATAATATTAATTAATTTAGAAATTAAAGATAAATTTAAAATTTATCAACAATTTGTATATAACTAATTTAAATTTAATAGTAACCAGTGTAAAATGATAACATCAGTATATATATATATATATATTCTATATATTCTATATATATATATAGAAACTATTATACACTTTCTCCAAAATTTCGTATTACTTTCCTCTTATTTTCTCAAGAAAGAGGATACGAGGACAATCACGCAAGAATTAAAAAATTGAACAAAAAGAATTCAAAAATATTCACTGTTAAAAATTTTGGAAATTGATAGGTTTTATCATTTTATTTATATAACAATTCTTATAGAGATAAAAATAATTTAATCTAAGATCATAAATTCAATACTTTTCGAAATATTTATAATTGTAATTTTATTATTATTAAAGTATTATAATTAATTTGAAGAATTATACAGAAAATGAAAAAATGAAATTTATCAATGTTCAAGATTTGAATGAAATCATTTGACTCGAAGGTTTTGCGCTTCTCTTGTAAAATGTTATCCGAATCTCGTTGCTCGTAAACGAAAATAAGAGTGCTTCACTCTTCGAATAACATTTCAGAATAAAAATTCTTCTTATATTGTTATATTATATATTTTGTATCACGAAATATACGACAAGTAATTTACGTTAGGGCAAATATCCAATATCGATTCACTTTCTAATGAAACGCGAAATTCACTTTCGATTTTTATTCACATATATTCCAGTCACACGAAGCTCGTAATTTTTCGATTACTTAAACGATTGTGAATAAAACGATTTTTATGAATAGAATGGAAACGAAGATTGAATTATAATTATTGTTACTGAAGAAAGATCAGTTGATTTTTTTTATTAAAAATAATAGTTTAACTACTTTATTTTAGATTTCGTTCGATGAATATTATTGAAATATGCAGTGAAATGAACATATATATGTATATATATTTAATAATTTTTCTTATTAAAAAAAAACACGATGAAATGACAAAAAATAAATCATACATAATAAAAAAAAAACATTATAATAAAATTTTTTCCTCGTGTCTCGAGATAATAGATAAAACAATGTTTTATGAAAAAACAACTTCTTTTCAATAGCATAATATTCTGTTTTGCACAATTATTATTCTCAAACAAATGATTTCAATTAACGGTGAATTTCCGTGTCACGTTTCGTGTACCAAAGAATATAATCGAGCACCAACGAGCAATAGCCAGTTATATATAGCAATCATGGCAAAATGTCGCGTGACACATAGCGCGAAGCTTTTCGTGTCAATTTAATTTACTTGATTCATTCGATCCTAATATCGAAACTGAGCAATGTTTCCATAAATATATGGAGCAAAATTTATTTTTCTTCTTTTAATAATAATAATCAAAGAGAAATATTAAATTAGATCAGAGCTAGATAAACTTGATATCACATAATTAGATAAGATAGTTCTTATTGATCGAAATCGTATTAGCAAAAATTAATATTTCCTTAATTAAAGAATTGATCGAAACTCGATTTGAGAAATCAGAAGGCCACTTTCAAAACTGTTCGCTCGCGGCGAACTATTGAGCATCGTTACGAATTCAATTTACAGTAGTTATAAGTCTTCCTCGTTGCTCTGCTTTTATATAGACATCGCATTATAAAATCCTTCGATTCTTCAATGAAATAGACATAGAAACGAAAAGATATAATTCTAGATTTGAATGAATATTTTCGTAAATATATCTTAAGAAATATATATATATATTGTATATGATGAATTTAAATATAGGATAAAAAGGGATCTTACTACACAATGTAAATCTCTTATGTACGTTTTCGTTGCAAAGACACTCGCACTTTCCGAAAGAAGGCGGAACAGAAATAAAACGAAAGAGCGAACCAATGAGGTGCACGAAAATACCTATGCGAAACTTGTCTACGGAACGAAAGATACTCGTCTTACCGGCACTACGGTCGTTGGTGAACTGAATAAAACGGCGGCTCTGGTACGCCTTTACTCTCTCGACGATCTCCGGCAACAAACTATGCGCATCACATGAGATATACGAGCAACGAACATTAATATGAGCGTGATAATTGCACGTGTATCATCTATTTAATGCATATCATCTTTCTTCTTTTTGATGATAGAAATTAAAACTGAAATCACAAAACAATAATGTAATATAAGAATATAGTGAAAATAGTTTTTAAAAAGATTTCAATTAATTTTGATAGAATTGATGTGATTCAATATATAATGAAAATATAAAGTTATCGTATATCGATATATGTATTATATAAATACTTGTGGTTTTATTTTAATATTTCCATCATGTAATTAATTCTTTCAAAGATTTTTTTTAAATCATTTTTTGATGATCATATTATGATGATAACCTGTACATCTTATAAAAAGAAATAAATATTTATAAATCACATAATATAATTTATAAAGATTTAAATATTAAATAAGAAATAAAGATATTAAATCGATATTAATATTTATTTATTGCGTTTTATTAATATCGTTCGTGCAATTTACAAACTGGAACACCGGCACATCTACACAAAACGCCTGTTGATCCATCGATGCATTTCCTTCGACTAGGGCGTCGCAACGGCGAGAGTCGAACGAAGGAGAGAGTAGGCCTCTCGAACGGAATATTGATGGGCAAATGAAATTTTCGTGAATTATTCTTGATTTTTTTGAACGATATTTGTTAATATATATATAATGTTGATTATAATTAAGTTGAATTCAGAAATCGATAGATTTTTCAGTCAAAAAGATGAAATCTAGAGAAATTAATTAAAAAAAGATTAATATGTGTTTTAAGATAATAATTTTTTAACGTTTAGTTTAAACGTTAAAAAATTATAACTGCCTATTTAAGATATTGATAATAAATTAAATAAAATAAATTAATTTAATAATAATTTTTTGGAGGATTATATTTTGTTATTGTATATAAGTTGAATAATATTTACTTTATTCTTCATATCGATATTAATATCGTGTTAAATTTAGAACAAAATTTTAACTTTAAATTGGTATTAACTTCAAATCTCAAAGTTGATATGAAAACATGTAAATTATAATTATAATTATAATTTGCAAATTAATTTGTAAAAAAAAAAGGAATATAAAAAGAAAAAAAATTATACTTATTGAAAAAAATGGATATAAATTATAATAAATAATATGATATAATTTGTTTAATATAATTTGTTATTTTTGTATATTGTATAAAAATTATTCAAATATATTTTACTATGCAAACAAATTATTCTTAATAGTATTGTTTTTTTTTTTTTTTTTTTTTTTTTTTAATAAATTATTTTATCTGTTTATAATTTGCCACAATTTAAAAGAAATTGATCGCAAGATTAAAAATCTCAGATAAGTGATTATAAATAAATTATTATGAATTAAAATTTTGATGAAATGGAAAGTTTATATTCAATCATTTAACCATTGAACTTGAAACACGAGAAATCTTTCTCTTGGTGGTTTAGCAAAACTACAGATTGTTTCATAAATTAACTTTTCAAAGCATTATGAGTGAAAGTGGCCAGTTTCAAATAATTCGGAAGATTTTAAAAACTGATTCGTATTACGTCCTAATCAATTATCAAAATAATGATAATAAATATTTTTATAATAAAGAAAACAGATATTAATAATCAATTTTTATGCGATAATAATATTGACAATTATTATAATATGTATTTATCATAAACTTTTTCAATTAATAATTAATAGTCATATTATTTCCGTTTATATTATCAGACATTAATCAAATTTTTTATTTTTAATATTTATCATTTTGATTCAGATAAATTAGTTTCTTAACCTTTAAAATATGATTAATGAATGATTAATGATTATTATCATAATTAATAAATGTTTATATGTTGGACGTGCTATAATATGATTTAAGAAAATGAAAGATTGTAGAAAATAAAGAATGATAAGAAAACTCACCGTTAAGTCAATATTCTTATAAATATTCTTACAAAAGATAGCTAAAAAAAATCTGTTCGAAGTTAATTCAAGTGAAACCGTCAGTCAGAATGTGAGGTGTCTAAAAGAATAAAAATTACGAAATTAATGTCAGTATGTACTTTCACTGAAATTCCCATTAAATAAACCTGAGCAGAATGGATCTTGATAATAATCATTATTAAAGAGTTTTTTTTTTGCTCTACTAGGGTTTGCGATTACTAAATATGTAAATACGAAAATCTACAAATATTGACACTTCAGAACTTTTTGCTTTTGATATTACATATATATATTTATATTATACATATGTATACATATATTATTTATATATTATCACACTATGGAATATATATTTATTGATTAACCTCACAAATTAACTATTCGTTTATTTTGCTTATTAAAATCTTTACATGAATTTTAAATAGGATTTTGATTGAAGAATCACAAAAATATATATATTATTTTTAAAAATAAGTTATTGTTAACAATTTATTTTGCATTCAATACCTTTAATTTAACAAGATGAAAAACAAATCGATAATCGATCAAATTATCAAATCTCGAATAATCTTAAACTCTGTTTATCATTTGGAATCATTCCCAATGTTATCGACTCAGTATTGTTGTACTTAATAGCTAGAACTGAAAATAAATGAAATAAAAAAAATGATATTATAATTATAAATAAATTATAAAATTCTATATTTACAGTTTATAATAATGTTTTCAGATTATATATAAAATTTTGAAAAATAAAAACTTTTAATAACTAATTTCGAATGACTATTAATACGCTATTAAATCATTGGTTATAATATAATATAACATAACACTGATTGATCTACAAATTTTAAAACAAAAAAGAATATTTTGATAAAATAAATCTCAACTTATTTCTTGAAATATGTTTTGATTTGATAAAAAGTTAAAGAATTTAACGTAAATATTACGAAATTTAAATCTTTAGATTGTTCTATCTACTGACTAGTTTTACTAATTTACTAGATAGAATTTACTAGATTCTATCAAATATATCTTGAAATATATTTTTTAAAAATTATTTAGAATTACAAAAATTATTAATCTAAAGTGAATATTTGAACAAAATTAAATTATTTTTTAAAAAAATATGTTTTGATTTATAATTATTTGAGAATTAAAAAAATTTAGTATAGATCCCAAAAATTTTTAATTTTAAATTTTTGTTATTTGACAATTAGTTCTACCTATTTACCGCTAGATGGTGAAAATGTTTTGATCTCCGTTAATGGATGACTATGAATAACAGGTTAGTTTAATATAAAAATAAATACTAAATATAATCAAAAATACTTGAATAAATAAATATAATAATTTTTATTATTAATAAAATTAATATAAAAATAAAAACTTATTCAGTATGAAGTCTCTAAAAAATAATGCCAAAGATGTTACAATGGACGCAATTATAAAAAATTTGAAAAAAGAAAAACAAAAAAAAAAAACAGTGAGAAAATAAAAAAATATTTTATAAAAAAAAACTTCAAAAGAAATGTTATTTTTTACTTCGTTTGTACTATTAAAAATCACCGCATATCAAGAAATATTATTTTTAGTTAGTTTAGAAAAAATTTTACAACAAATCTTATATATAAATAATATCCTCGGTATAATTGATTATTTTAACGGAAGATATTCGTGTTTTCATTGCACGTGATTAAACCTTGAATGCCATAAACAATAAAAGAGAATTTATTATGTCTTGTATACTCAAAGAACACTTTAAAAGTATACAATTGCTCATGATTTTATCTTTTATTTATTCATTAATTCAGACGACTCATTAAGACGATCAATGGATTGCATGGATAATGAAATGGCCGTGTACCTTCATCATTGTATTGCATTTCTTTTTCCATAACATGTATATAATTCATTCTTCACTACAATCGAAAAAACCTTGACAACACTATCAAACAATAAAATTTTAAAGACAATGTAAAATGATTTTCGAAACGTAATCAGACTCGAAAAAGGTAATTTTAAAATATTTTTAATTTTTGAATATCAAAAAATAAAAATCAAGAAATAAAAATGTGAAAGAAATAAAGTATTGCAATATTTTTTTATTATATATTTTGTTTATTATATGTTTTATTTCGAAAATGATATTTATTAATATAATTATGTTTCTATTTTTTTATTTTTTTTTATCTTTTGTAGGAAAAAAATATCACTGACCTAGATTTTAAATATCGTTCGTTTCACTGGATATTTGATGATTCTTGTTTATTTTCTATGCTAACTATGAAAAACTATGAAAATTGTTCGTGGGAATTAGGTTTTTATAAGATGACTGACGGTCATGCGTATACTACACGAATTATACCCAGGAATAACAAGTGTACATTTTCCCATGCATGTACATAGGTACGTGTTTTGTCAAAGAACGAAATAAATTTCCACTCAGATTGTGTAAGCTGAGATATTATAATGCTCCATCTACATTGCACGCACGTAATTCGAATTCGCTTGGATTTCATAACTTTCTATCCAAAGAAGAATAATCCAGCTAAAAGATTGCAAATCAATGATTTCACGTAATTTCTCATAATACGTTATCTTTGTTTAGCTTTAACAATAGCTGAAGGATGAAAAATTAAAAAAATAATAATTGATTATTTTTGATATATGATAATGAAAAAACAGAAATAATAATATTAAAAAAAATTATTACATTAAAAAAAAAATCTTCTAATTTCAATTAAAATACTTTCTCATAAAAAAATTCAAAAAAATTACTAATGATTTTTTTGTATTTGATTTACAAATAGTATTATAGATGTAAATCTTGAAAACATATAACAATAAATCTCTTATCTTATCAATTTCTTAAATGAAGAACTGTTATTTCTAAAATTTTTTTTCAAATTTTATGCTCTATTTACAATTAATTAAATTAATAGAT